ACCATGATACATTTTTGATGCGGACATTTTCCACCCGTTTTTTTTATTTTTTATTTTTTATTATTTACCTTCAAATATCCAATTATATTATTTTTAACACATATTTTTTAACTTTTGTTCATATTTTTAGATTCTGAGCAGAGCAAGGAAGCTAGTGGTTTTACAATGGTGTTTATTTTTTTTATTTTTTTATTTTTATATCCTGTATACAAAATTTCTACCAGAAGGAGTGCTTTGATTTCAACATATAGTACCTTATCTTTTAGCAAATTGGACCAAGATGGTAAACTTTAAAGAGGTCATTTTTCGATTTTCTCAATAGTTATTTAATGCCACGGGAAAAAGTACTGAAAAATTACGAAAAACCGCTTAAAATGGGATTTTAATTTCTAACAATTTGTTTATCACCGTAGCAACGAATAAAAATAATAATAATTAAATAAATAAAATAATTAATGACAATATAAAAAAAGGCAGGTAAGTGGATGTCGCTCGGCTGTACAGTAGGTTACAAGTTGGTCATTGTTTAATGGATTGTATTAAACTTGAATTCAATGATATAATATCATTGTATAAGAAAAACGATTCTGAACGGAGACGGTTTGTCAGTCTGTATATTTTATATTGTCATTAATTATTTTATTCATTTAATATTATTTTTTTTATTCGTTGCTACGGTGATAAACAAATTGTTAGAAATTAAAATCCCATTTTAAGCGGTTTTTCGTAATTTTTCAGTACTTTTTCCCGTGGCATTAAATAACTATTGAGAAAATCGAAAAATGACCTCTCTAAAGTACCATATTGGTCCAATTTGCTAAAAGATAAGGTACTATATGTTGAAATCAAAGCACTCCTTCTGGTAGAAATTTTGTATACAGGATATAAAAAAAAATAAATAAATAAACACCATTGTAAAACCACTAGCTTCCTTGCTCCGCTCAGAATCTAATATACAGACTGACAAACCGTCTCCGTTCAGAATCGTTTTTCTTATACAATGATATTATATCATTGAATTCAAGTTTAATACAATCCATTAAACAATGACCAACTTGTAACCTACTGTACAGCTGAGCGACATCCACTTACCTGCCTTTTTTTTTTTTAAACTGTACGTTAACTAAAAATCTTTAATCTTGATTTGAATAAAAAAATAATAAACAATATTTAAAACAAGTTAAGTAAAAATATAGTTTTAAATAAAAGATTGTCTAAATAAATTATATAGTAGTATAGTACAATACAGCTAGCCAAAAAATCCAACAGAAAAATAAAAAATATTGCAAAAACAAAATATAATGAATTTGTTTGATAAATTTGACGTTTCTATTGCGAAAAGTCTGGAAGGAGTTGTTACACTACCTTTACAATTTTTCTTTTTTTTTTACACACACCCATTATAGATTCTTAGTGGAACGGTGAATGTATTGATTTTACAATGATGTGTGTTTTTTTTATTTTTTATTTTAATTTTTTTCATTGGTGTCCGTGTACACGATAAGTAATCGAAATAATGCTTCCATTTTCAACTTCCGTATCTTGTTTGATTGGAAAGTGAATATTGTTGGTGCATCGGGGAGGTCAAAATTAAAAATTCTCAGTATTTTTCAAAAGCGCCAAGAAAAACAAAAGAAAAATTAAGGAAAAACGGGAATTTTTACGCTTTTTATGGTTTTTGGTGTAACTTTAAAACAAATGAACATAGAATGAAATTTTCACTGGTTGTTTATAGGTATTTGCATTTTCTGTACACGATAACATTTTCAAAATATTTTGATTTATTTTGAACTGTTTAGGGACATTTTCAGTTTCCAACTTTATTAGTTTTTTAGATTCCGAGTGGAACGATGAATGTATATTGATTTTACAATGATGTGTGTTTTTTTTTTTTTTTTTTTAATTTTTTTTTTTATTAAGGCAAATTGAAGTGTTACTAATGGGTGGCTGCTTTCCTCAAAAATGTTTCACATTTTATCTACAAATATTATTAAGGGTATGATGTATTTTTTTTAAATTATTTGTATATGACTAATCTCATTCACATCTACTTATTGACTATTGTGCCATGTGGTATAGATTGTAGATTACATTTAAAAATAAAAACATTTTTTTTTATGTCACGTTCTAGGACAGTAAAAGTGCTTGGATTTTCTTCGACAGTAGCTTTTCTGATAGGAAAGTGAATCTAGTTGGTACTTTGGGGGGTCGAAAATGAAAATGTATCAGTAGTTTTCAAAAGCGGCTTGAAAAACAAAATAAAAATTAAGGAAAAACGGGGATTTTTACACTAAAATCTGTTTTCGAAAAAATCGATTTTGGTTTTTGGTGCAACTCTTAAACAAATGACCGTAAGTACAAGAAATTTTGACTGAATGTTTATATCAGCATTTTCTATACACGATAACATTTTCAAAATGTTTTGATTTATTTTGAACTGTCTAGGCACATTTTCATTTTCCATTTTTTTTTAGTTTTTTTTCTAAAAATATCAATAAAATTTTATTTGTTGGTCAAAAAAGCTTGAAAATTAAATACAAGGCTCCTACTATATTGTTACAATGGCATTTGAAAAATATTAAAAATCCTTAGTCACAGTTTTTTTTATGAGCATTTAAAGTTCAAAAATTAACAATATATGGAAAAATCACGAAAATTAGAAAATAATTTTGAGTTAAGAATTCGTAAAAATTTTTCTTTGTAAATCTAAGGTTTTAAAATGTAATACAAGATTCCTTATAAGATTATCTACCTTTATCAAAAAAAAAAATGTCTATAAGAAAGATAAATTAAATTTTTATGAGCGTTTGAAATTCAAATTTTTACAACATTGGATATTCACTCGATTTATCATGTAGCGATTTCCTTATTTTGTTGTAATTCAAAAACGAATGACTGTAGATACATGAAAATTTCACTGAATATTCACTGAATATTTATATTAGCATTTCCTATACACCATACAATTTTGAAAATGTTTTGACTCTTTTTGAGCTGTTTACGGACATGTTAAGTTTTCAATTATTTTAGTTTTTTTTTCTATAAACATCAATAAAGTTTTATCGATTGGGCCGAAAAAGCTTGAAAATTTAAAACAAGATTCCACGTAAGTAGTTAATCACGTTAAAAAAAATTTAGAAAATACATAAGTGCAGTTTATTTTTATAGTCATTTTAAGTTCAAATTTGGACGAAATTACATAAAAATAAAACCTAGAATAACTTTAGTCATTTTGTTGTGATTGTGTAATATTATTCGTTCGTATTGAAACTTCTTAAGTACCTACACTATTATATATCTATGATAGTATCAGGGTTTGTTGTTGACGTATAACGCATTTTATGTACCTAATGGATATTGTGATATGATTAACTTGGAATTTATTATAGGTACCTATTTTAGGTAAATTTTTTTTAATACGATAGATGATGAGTAGGTATATTAAAATGTCTTATACCTAAACTGACATACCGTCTCCGCTCAGAATCGTTTTTCTTATATGATGATATTATATCATTGTTCAAATTTAATTAATACTATCCATTATACAGTGACCCACTTGTAACCGTAACTGTACTGCAGAGCACCTTTTTTTTATGAATATCAATAAAATTGTATTTGTTGAGTAAAAATACTTGAAAATTTAATAGAAGGCTCCTAGTATATTGTTTCAAAGGCAGATGAAAAATATTAAAAATCCTTAGTCACAGTTTTTGTTTTTTTTTATAATCATTTAAAGTTCAAAAATTGACAAAATATGGAAAAATCACGAAAATTAGCAAATTATTTTACACTTATCCTCCTATTTTTATGTTTGGCTCTTATTTTCCATGGTTTTTTTTCTTGTCTACTTGCAGGGGTGTATATGGGGTAGACAAGTAAAGACCACCAAAAAAAGAGCCAAACATAAAAAAAAGGTGGGTAAGCGGAATAGTGGATGTCGATCGGTTGTACGCCTGTAGGTAAAGTGGGTCACTGACCACTGTATAATGGAATGTATTAAATTTGAAATGGACATTACCTTATAATTTATAAATGCTACATGATGATTCGTGATAAGTGATAACTGCTATCAAACTGCTGACACCGCGAGTACTTTAAAATGTATAATATTAAAGAATAAAGTTCTTGCACCGTTGAAACGTGGAGAACTGAGAAGGAAAACGTCTTGCCGATTGGCCAGTGTCTGGTTGTGAGTGAATGTGCGACGTAGATAGTCGATTACTCGGTATTCGAATACTACATTACTACTGAAGTACTGACAAATGTCAATTATTTACAAGTTTACAACTTATACCTACTATAATACATTTATTATATTAATTACTAATAATTATGTCTGTAATAACTACTAACTAGTGGTCACTACAACTCATTACTCAATAGTTCAGACGTTCAGTAGTCACATCTTCACTTCTTAGGTAGTCTGTGAATGTTCGCCGCTTAGAAAATTATAGGTATTATATTATTATACCTATAGTTCTTACAATTTTTGTTATCTGTAGTTGCGTCCTTGAAATTTCTTTTCTTCAACGATTTTCCTCTCGTAGTTTTACATACTGAGTTGTTGAATAATAATTATTAAATATTATGCAGTTCATGCAAATCGCTTTTAAATCATAATTCATGTAGATTTTGTGCATTACGAATTTTATAGCTGAAGCTAAACGTTTGAAGTTCACAATTTCCCGGGTTGAAGATCAAATCTCAAAAGCAATAAGCCACTGTAAATATTACTCTTTACGTAAATAGGCACATACGAATATATTTGTACTACAGTCTTTATAGTTATAACTTATAATATACTCATATAATAATATTATGACATATGAAGTTTGGTTTTCGACAATTTTATTCATTAAGTATTTATTTTTATAAATTTTGAAATCATATCAACCCATTTTAATTATACATACCTATATAATAAACCATTTATAATATAGTACCTAGTATATATAGTAAATGTAATTTTTTTTATTTTAGTAGTGTCAAGACACAACATGGACCAATTACGTTTTGATGGACGAGTGGCAATTGTCACTGGAGCTGGTGCCGGTTTGTTAAAGATAATTAATGTACCCATACCAAAATTAAGTTTTATTTTTTTTAACATCAATGACTAGGTATTATTTAATCTATATTTTGTGTTCCTGGCAGTTTTGATAACTAACGTTACCAGATTACCTACACCTATAATTTATACTACACCGTTTCTGAGGATTATTGTTAATTAATAAATTGAATTTGTTAAATTTTTTAATTAAAAAAACACAATTATTAAGTTATAACATTTTTACATTTACATTAACAAAATACTAAATAAAATATGTTTAAAATGTTTGTTGTTCCTAACTATATTATTTTTTTAAATTTTGTTTTGATTTTAAGGTTTGGGTAAAGCTTATGCGTTATTATTTGCTGAGCGTGGAGCTTCTGTGGTTGTCAACGATCTTGGAGGTAGTCGATCTGGAGATGGTAGCAGTAGCAAAGCTGCAGATTCTGTTGTATCAGAAATCCGCTCTAAAGGTAATTCAATCTCTGTAATCATTTATTTACCACAAAAACAATATTATTTTAATTTATTATTAGGTGGAAAAGCTGTACCCAATTATGACTCTGTAGTTGATGGTGACAAACTAGTACAGACTGCACTTGAGAACTTTGGTCGTATTGACATAGTAGTGAATAATGCTGGAATACTAAGAGATAAATCATTTGCACGAATAAGTGAATCTGACTGGAGTAAGTAATTAATCCAATTAATTTTACTAAAATATTATTAAAAATTGTTTTCCCTATAGATTTAGTACATGATGTTCATTTGAAAGGTGCTTTTAAAGTTACACAAGCTGCATGGCCACATTTTCGTAAACAAAATTATGGTAGAGTTATTGTCACAAGTTCTAATTCTGGTTTATATGGAAATTTTGGACAAGCCAACTACTCGTAATTAATTAAAATAGCATTGAGTTTTAACAAAATGAAAATATATATTTTTTTTAAGGGCTGCCAAATTGGGTCTAGTGGGTCTTTGTAACACTATGGCAATTGAAGGTAGGAAAAATAATATCAACTGTAATGTTATTGTACCTACAGCAGCATCTCGACTCACTGAAGATATTCTACCACCAGGTATTTAAATTTTATTTTTTAAATATTAAAAAGCTTAGTTTCAAGTTATGGTTACTTAAATACATTCTAATGTTTTCATAAAAATATTCCTTAGATTTCTTTGCCGAATTAAAACCTGAACTAATTGCTCCTGTGGTTGTGTGGCTTTGTCATGAAAACTGTGATGAAAATGGTTCTATTATTGAATCAGCTGCTGGATGGGCTACAAAATGTAAGACTTTAAAAAGTGTTATTGCTAAATCCCTTATTCCGTGTAAAAAGCATGGTTAACTAGCTAAGGAAAATACAATTATAGGTCATTTGGTGAGGGGAACTGGTGCTATACTTAGACACAAGATTACAGACACAGTGGCTCCAGAAAATGTCCGTGATGTTTGGAATCAGTTGACTGATATGTCACGAGCAACTAGACTGGATTCTATTGAAGTAATTAAATTAATATTTTGGTACTTATACATTATCACGACTATAGACCGTCTAAATTCCATTATCTCAACTACTGCTTGATGTCGCAACTACCAATTTTGATATCTCGAATAACCAATTACCAGTACTCATGTTACTTTTATGTAAAGATGTCTTCACTTTACTTTTCCAAAAGATTTCATCTTTCGGAGTCTTTCCGATTTACAGTTTTTTGTTATGGCTGCTTTTGCATTCACCCTATCTTGAATCTAAACATTTTTCTTGAAATAAGTAGTTATTTGTAAATATTAACAATTTGTATAATTTATAAATTCCTTATTCATAATTTAAATTAATAATAAATAATGAAGATGATTTTGAATGCCAGTTAACCAAACTTTGACCCCTTGAAAATTGACTGACGAGTATATTTTCACAGTGAAGACTACAGAAACTTTGATATTTGCAACTTCAGGCGTAATTGCGACACACTGTTAAGTGACTGGCTAGTAGGTCGGTATAATATGAAAGTCCCAATATTTTTCAATTTTATTTTATATAATTAACAAGGTAAACTTTTGATTTATGAAGGCGTCTTCACTTTCTTATGAAGTTTAGATAATCAAACAACATAAAAATTAAGGAAAAACGGGAATTTTTACGCAAAATTGGTTTTCCAAAAAATCGATTTTGGTTATTGGTGTAACTCTAAAACAAATGAACGTATATACATGAAATTTTCACTGGTTGTTTATATTTGCATTTTCTATACACGATAACATTTTCAAAATATTTTGATTTATTTTGAACTGTTTAGGGACATTTTCATTTTCCATTTTTTTTTAGTTTTTTTTCTAAAAATATCAATAAAATTTTATTTATTGGTTGCGAAAGCTTGAAAATTTAATAGAAAGCTCCTAATATGTTGTTTCAAAGGCAGATGAAAAATATTAAAAATCCTTAGTCACAATTTTTTTTATAAGCATTTAAAGTTCAAAAATTGACAAAATATGGAAAAATCACGAAAATTAGCAAATTATTTTGAGTTAAGAATTCGTAAAAATTTTTCTTTTTAAATCTAAGATTTGAAAATGAAACACAAGATTCCTTATAAGATTATCTACCTTTATCAATAAAAAAATCTCTACCGGACAGTCAAATTAAATTTTTATGAGCGTTTGAAATTCAAATTTTTACAACATTGGATTTTCACTCGATTTCTCATGTAGCGATTTCCTTATTTTGTTGTAATTCAAAAACGAATAACTGTAGATACATGAAAATTTCACTGAATGTTTATATTAGCATTTCCTATACACCATACAATTTTGAAAATATTTTGACTCTTTTTGAGCTGTTTATGGACATTTACAGCTTTCAATTTTTTTTAGTTTTTTTTTTCTATAAATATCAATTAAGTTTTATCTGTTGGGCCAAAAAGTGTAAAAATTTAATACAAGGCTCCTGATATATTGTTACAATATCAGTTGAAAAATATTAAAAATACATAGGCAACGATTTTTTTTTATAAGCATTTAAAGTTGGAATTTTGACAAAATTTATCAAAATCTCGAAAATTATCAATCGTTGGAATTAAAAAATTATAAAATGTTCAGTTTTTATAACTAAGAGTTGAAAATTTAAAACAAAGATTCTCTTAAATAATTCATACTGTAACCAAAAAATCTAAAAAATATATAAACACACTTATTTTTTACAGACATTTTAATTTCAAATTTAGACAAAATTTCATATTTAAACCAAGAATTACGATTTTAGTTATTTTGTTGTGATTGAATAATACTATTCGTGGGTACTTGAAACTTCTAAAGTGTACTATTATATATCTATGATAGTATCACGGTTTTTGTTGATGTATAACGCGTTATAAGTATCTAATGGATATTGTGATATGATTAATTTGGAATTTATTATAGGTCAAATTTTTGTTTAATACCATAGATATGTATATAATATGCCTTATACATAGACTGACATACCATCACCGCTCAGAATCGTTTTTCTTATACAATGATATTATATCATTGAATTCAAATTTAATACCATCCAATATACAGTGACCCACTTGTAACCTACTGTACAGCAGAGCGACACCCACTTGCCCACCTTTTTTTTCATATTTATTTATGTAATTAACAAGTAAAATTGTTGATTTTAGGAAGCATCTTCAACTTTATTAGGAGTTTTAGATGAAATCAAATCAGGTCCAGAAGAAACCTTAAATGAAGCTAATGGTGTGTTCAGTTACAATAACCGAGATTCCATTATTTATGCTATTGGAGGTAAATTATAAATTTTAATTATTTCTAACTGTATATTAAAAAAAAATAATATTTTGTTCTTAGTTGGAGCAAATGTAAAAGAAGAAAGTGATTTACAATACTTATATGAATCTCATGAAAATTTCTCTACACTACCTACCTATGCAGTTTTACCCAGTCTGATGGCTACTATGAGTAGTAGTTTGATAACTGAGGCAATACCCGGTAGAGAGTTTGATTTATCTCAGGTATAAGCCTTATGTTTGAGATATATTATATAACATATAATGTGGATCAATTAACAAACTATTGATGCTTTAAATTTTACCGAGTTTGATCCCTTGAGAGACAAGAGAGAATTAAACAGTGTTGAGTAGTAACGTAGTTACACTTTTCAATAACGTTAAGTAACTTCGTTATTATTAATTTTGGGTAACGCAAAAGTAACTACGTTAATTATTTAGAAGAACTTAGCAGAAAAACGGATTACGTTATACATTTTTTTTTTATTTCACTATAGTAATAAGAGAAGTTCTTATCACAATGTAATTAAAATTTTTTTCTTATAACATGGGAAACAAAATTGTTCAAGTTTATAGTAAATAAAAATAGCTTTTTTTTCGAAGAATGTTATGAATTATGATAAAACAAATGAAAAATGGCATTGCACAGTTAAAGTCATACTTTTTTTCTGGTCAAAATGTAGTGTCTTAAGTTAAGACTTAACTATAACTACTCTTCTTGGTTTTTTTTCTTGCAGTTTAGATTAGACTAGGTTTTCCAAATGTTAGGATATGTGTTTTGATATTTAATTTTGTATAACGCAATAACCAACTATGGAAATGATTCGGGACCACTTGTAAGATAGTTTGAATGAGTATTTAAGCATAAAACTTTTGTTTTATAAAATCTGCTATCATAAAACCTCCTAAGGTTATTGAATTTGAATGTTATTCGTAATTGTTTCATATATTTTGATAGCCATGAAATTATTAAAGGAAAACAAGACATTTTAGGTTAGTCCTTGGTCTACATCTTGCTAAAATACTGAATCTACCTATTTACCTAAATAATATATAAATGTTAAGCCATATAGCTAACAAAGTTATTAAATGTTATATTTTAGTTAAAATATTACATTACTAATTAGTATTAATAAAATATTTTTAGTAAGTTTTTATATGATTTATATTCCACTTTCAACACTGTTCTCTATTATTAATAATTTAAAGCTTATAATTTATAGGTTTTGCATGGTGAACAATATTTAGAACTACACAAGGCTTTACCAACTGAAGCTAAACTTAGTACTAAAATTTGTATTTCTGATGTTTTGGATAAAGGAAAAAATGCTGTTATTGTTGTTGATGGTATGAGCTTTATTTTTAATTTTATGTTTTCAAATTCTTTAATATATTATATAATATATATGCTAGATATGTTCTTGATAATTTCCTTCTTAAATTCTTTTAGGTAAAACATATGATGAATCTGGTGATTTGATTATCACATCACAAATATGTACTTTTGTTCTGTCAGCTGGAGGATTTGGAGGGAAACGGGTTTCAAGTGTTATGATTCCAATACTCGATGAACCTAAACGGTCTCCAGATTCGACTGTTACAGAGAAAACTTCTGTGAATCAAGTAATGATTTTTATTTGTGCATTAGCATTTAGCTTATTTCTTTATCATTATTTTGAATTATATTATATTTAATACATTGTTATTAGGCAGCAGTTTATAGATTATCCGGTGATCTAAATCCTTTACACATAGATCCATCATTTGCACTTGCTGCTGGTCATCAAGTACCAATACTTCATGGTTTAGCAACTTTAGGTATGTCAGTAAGACACATACTCAAACAATTTGCTGATAATGACTCAAAATTATTCAAATCACTTAAGGTATTTACATAATAATTTTTAAAAAAATGTTGTTGATTTCATTAAATTACATTTACATGACTAATACAATGGCTGTACATAATATGGTTGAACTTAATAATAATATATTTATGCCTTTATCTTTTGTTAAATTTTTACTTGATAACACATGTACATATGTTCATTTAACAGCAGATAGGATTTTAATTTTAAATTATAATAAGTTAATCAGGTTATATATTATAAAGAATACCTATTGCTGCATGTTTTAAAAATAACAATATCACCATTTTATCTAAAATTCTAAATAATTAGAAGAATAAAAAGTATAAGTTGAATATTGTTGAACTGTACTGTGTAATATGAATACTGAATAGGCACTATAAAATTGATGTGCAGAAAAAATAAAACTCGTGTATAGGAGGCATGGAACAAACAACTCATTAATTTACAAACTACATTGACCTCTAGGTGAGATTCAGTAAACCAGTTGTACCAGGCCAAACATTGTGCACATCAATGTGGAGAGAAGGTAACCGCATTCACTTCAAAACTTCCGTATCAGAGACAAACGACACAGTTCTATCAGGTAATTTTTATTTAAGGTAATGTAATTATTCGTTCTCATATTTATGATATTTATTTATGTTTATTTTATGCATAAACATATAATGTATTTATATCTAGCCGTCTAGATTATATTTATTTAGCCTTGACAGTTACATTTAATAATTTAAAACATATTGTATGTATAGTAGTATACCTTTAATTATGCCATCAATTTAATTACTTAACGTATTGACATATTCAATTTCTTGACATATATGACCTACAAAATTAATATTTCTATGCAGTTAAAAACAAAATTTTTTTTAAATTATCAGCAAATTGTTTAAATTAACACAAAATTATGTTTCATCAAGCTTATCTTATATTTTCTGTTATTATATTTTTATTATTTTTGACCGTGTTTGGTATTATTTTATTTGTAGATTTTGTTTTCACTAGGTGAGTTTCCTGTTTCAGATTTAATCTACAAATGTATAAAAACATATTTTTTTCAAGGTCAACACCTAAAATTGATGAAATAAATAAATGATAGTTTGAAAATATTTATTTTTAAAATTTTTTATTTAAAATAATTACTGGTATATTTTAGGCGCTTACATGGAATTACACGAAGTTAGATTGCCAGCCAAACCACATGTGGTATTGTGCTCTGGGAAAGTCGAAGAACTGCCAAGCGATGCAGTATTCCACGGTATGAAAGAACGCATTGAATCTAATCCAAGCTTATTAAAATCTATAAATGGGGTCTTTGTTTATCACATCACAAAAAGTGGTAAAGTCACAAGTACATGGAGTAAGTGTTGTTTTATTAAAAATACATTGATAACTAAGACACTTGTTCCAATATTAAAATATAAAAATTAATAATTAGCTGCAGATTTGAAGATTGGTAAAATTTATCGTGGAGAACCTGAAAAAGGCATTAAAGCAGATACAACATTGACTATTGATGATTCAGACATGATTGATTTGGTAAGTATCCTATATATAATATTGTTATTGTACATTCATAATATTATATATTGTGAAAAAAACTTTATTTAGGCTCTTGGAAAGCTAAATCCTCAGATGGCATTTATGAAAGGTAAACTGAAAATCAAAGGAAACATCATGCTAGCTCAAAAATTAAAAGCGTTAAACACTGAGTCAAAATTGTAAAGGTAATTTTTTGTTTTGCGAATCCAAGGAATTTAATTTAATATAAGGTTTATGGTATGGTGTTAAGGGTAGGGATTTCGCCTTGGATCATTATTTTAAGATGAAGTATTGTTGAACATTTTTTATATCTTTTATTAATTATTTACATGTTTAATGATCTTTTTTATGTAATTTGTTACTTATTGTTTTTATTCCTTTCTTTTTTCCACCAAGCTATATTTATAATAAATAAATTTATTATTTATTAATGGTTATTAATCTCATTTATCACCATTGCTTACTTGATATTTAATTATTAAACTGGTCAAATTACTAATCCTTTAAACATATTCCCTTTAACTTAAATATATGAGGTTTATACTAAAACTATATTGAGATAAATATAAAACATTTTTAGTGTATTATACCAGGAGAATAAATACAGTAAAATAGAAAAGTCAATTAATATAATAACTTTGATGTGTTACTTTATTTATGTCCAATAAAATATTAAAATACAATACAATAAGGAAAGATAAACGTGCAGTAGGGCAAGGTGAAACCATGGGGGAATGACGTCAACAATAACATAAAATAAAATAATAAGATAAAAATAAACTATAAATCTTTTAAAAATTAGCTTAATACGCTTTGTTAATTAAAAAAAACTATTATATCTATATACGCCTAGGTAAATAATAATGAAAAAAAAATAATAATCATTTCAATAATATAAGTGGAAACAGCTTTTTGATGATTAAATATTACTTTATTTATATTTATATGTATTGATTTTGTGATTATTTCGACACCAAAAACATGATCAACCTGTAAACAATGAACAAATTGTTAAAAAAAAAACCATAAACAAGCTAAATTTAAGATTATTTTATTACAGGCACATACCAACTTATATTTATGGAATATAAATATGTGATTTTTTAAGTAGTTGTTCCATTTTTATGTTTAAATTATACATGTCATCAAATTTTTCTTTTTTTTTTTTAAGTGAAGATAAAGACAATATTTTCAAATACTTTATTTTTCAAAATATTTAATGAGTATCCTCACTAACCAACATTGGTTTTTTCAAATGAGAACCTTTATGTTTTAATGCAAATTGTGAATTAGATGATTTTTAAGAAAATGTTGACATATTGTAATCGAAATTTACACAAAAATCTTCCAAGTTATTCTACTTTAAAAACTAAAGATAACAGTCTGTTAAATACTTTGTAAATGGATATAAGCTCGCCCATTATAATAAAGTATGCAACATAAAATATTTAATATTTGATAATAATTACTACTTAGTGGAGACGTATACCCAGACAATTTTGTAATATTACAAAATACTTATGTATGAACATTGCACCTAATTACTATCAAAACAATAGTAAGTAATATCCTTTTAATAGACTATTATGCTCAGTATATTAAATAAATATCTCTGAAAATTTTAGTTCAAATTTAAATCACAAAACGTGTCTTTTACAAAAATCATTTGGTTTATAATTTTTATTGAAAAATATTGGTTTTCATTTGAAAAACAAATGTTGGTTAAATAATAAATATTGTAAAAAATAATCTTGTAGATTTTAAATATAATATGATAAGAAACATCAAACATCAACATTTATTATTTTTGAGATTATGTTACAGACTAATTTACTGTAATTACAAATTAGGCAACTAGTTCATTAAAATTTATTATATTATGTTGTAAAACGAAATTGAAAATACTTATAATTAAATGCAATGTATCATAATATATAACATGTTTAAATGTATACATTAACATGTATATTGTATACTCAAGATTAAATTGTTTTAGTTATTTGAAATAAATTTTTAAATGTTATATTAAGAGGACACTACCCATACATTTGTTGTCTCCGTCTTACACACGCACGGCATACCAAATGGTCGTTCACTAGTTTCAATAGTATGCAGTTAGTTTTGATACTAGAGTGAATTGACCTATTATAACATATTTCTATAATAACATTATCTGTGTTTAAGCGTTCGCTTTTATTCAATATTTTAATTTTCAAGCGAGATATGAGCATTTTAAATTTTTGATATTTCACGTACACATATCTTACTTGAAAATGCAAATATTTAAAAATCGCCAACGCTTAAGCACAGATAATATTCTTACCTAATAGTATGATAATAGGTCAATTCACTCTAATATTAAAACTAACAACACACTATTTAAACTAGCGAATGGAAATTTGGTATGTCGTGCGTGTGTAAGACGGAGACAACAAATGTATGGGTAGTGTCCTCTTAAGAAACTAACTCTTTTTTCATAATTCTTATATCCAAAGTTGATTTATTTTTGTTACATACCTCAAGTTAATCGTTTTGGCAGCTAACAGCCGATTACATTCAGCTGAGTCTGGTAATGGCAATGTTACAAATTGTGTTTCTGTTTCATTCTCGTTGAATTCAAACTTATATATTTTCGGATTCACCTTCATATCACCAAATGGTCCTTTAACTACTAGATAATGGACAGACATAGGTGTGGGGATTTTGGTTTTCAGAATCAGCTATTTACAGATGATCAGCATGACGACGACATAATTGAGGGCGTAAAGGAAACAGAGGAATGAATAAAAAAAAAAAAAAATCAATTAGTATTTTCAGATAGTACAACGAATAACCTGCAAAAATAATCCTGAAATATTAGTAGTAAAATATGATTATTAATAAAAAAATTTTAAAAGTATATTAGTCCGAATGCACCTGAAAAACAAAACTCAACCCAAATTATTATACACAGTGCTTCCAAATGTTAGCATAACTTACCAGGACAAGAAAAAAATAAAAGCAATTTAGTATATTTCTGACTAATGACTTACCAAAGCTTACCCTTTATACAAATAAAAATGAATTTAAGAAAAAAATACAATTACAAGTTTTTAATAAATATGTTTATATTAACCTAGCAAGAATAATTAACAAGAATCCGTAAAGTTTTACTTTGAGAACGTCGTAAAAAACAAAAACTGTTTATACAAAAAAATCCTGCGATCTGATCCATATTGGGCGTCTTTAATTGATGTTTCAGCCGTTGTTATCTCTTCGATGGTGTTTAGGTAAAATGTGTCTAGACGTGGCGGACGTAGAGAAACGGGCAAAAACAAAAAAATAAACACATTTTATAGATGGCAATATGAATTTTGTCGTGCATGTGCCGATTCAACGATAGATTGATTTGAGAGTCCATACCATGAAGATGATGCCGTTGTAGTAGTACTAGTACTAGTACTAGAAGTAGTGGTAGTAGTGTGGTCTTGAAAACTGTGAACGTTTATTAATATAACAAAAAATATCTTGTCTCCTGTTTCACAATTATAATTGAAATATCCATTGATTATAGTTGAAAACACGTCGTCCTTAAACGTTACAGTGATGACTAATGACATCCAAATTTTTGGTGTAACCTAACACTGAAAGGACTGACAACACGTATATGGATACTTGTGGTTGTGTTTTACGCATTTGTGTATATTATGGGTTAATTATTGTTTTTTTTCTTATATTAAATAGAACTTACCTGTTTTTTTCTATGAAACAATGTTTTTCAAATTATTATTATATTATTTAAAAAATAGGATAGTGAATACAATACAAAAAATTTAAAAATTAATACATTTTTTTCCTACAAATGTTGCACATAAATTACCTGGTATGACATGTGACGATCAACACTTAACGCTGGGTCTCTTTGCATGTTATTGATGCGGGTTTTGACAACCCACTGAAAATTGAAAGCTGAAAATCTGGCAGTTTCATAGTACAACTTGTGTACAAACTCTTCTGTTCGGTATGGTTTTAATTGCAAATCTAAATAATGTATTTAATCCAATTAGATACATATTGATTTAATTTAAACCCTAGTTGGGCTACTTGGCCTTATTTAGTTAATTACTACAGCATACTATACTATATATTTTATGATTTACCATTAAATGTTATCTTTTCAAAACTCATCAAGTCAAATATGGTGTCATATAAAAGTTTCTCTTCCTGAAACTTTTGGTCCATAGCATCAAGTGCAGACATGACATCTTTTCCCGTAGTTGATGGGTGAGGGCACACTTTTTCATGTTCAGATGCTTCATGACTGGGTCCACGCCAAGGGCAGCCTATCTTACTGTATCCACATTTTACTGGTCTAAAAAATGAATGTAAGCAAAATATAAACGTTTATCATTTTATCATTTTTTATCAATTTATTTCCCATGAATAAAAAACTAAATATGATTAATTGCTTACCGTTCCGCACAAAGCTGTTGTTCGTGATGTTGTAATGTGTTACGTGGAAATTCTTTGGCGCAAAACTGACACTCTGATGGCAGTTCACTGACTGCTTTCTCAACAGCCAAGTTACGTGTGGCTGTGTTTTTCGCAATGTCCACACGACAATTGGGACATGTGGCCATTTCATCTCGTAAACGTGCATCAGCCAACAAATGAGCAAAGCATCCAGCGCACATTAAATGTCCATTTGTACACTGTGAACAAAGATAATATAGTATTATAGTTTGTACACCCAACTCATGTCGCAGATTATTATATCTAAATTCAAAAGTTTAAAACCAGAAACAAAACTTTAAACCTAGTTAATAGGTCTATGTAAGATTGATTTTTCAAAGCCAATTCCTAAAGAAGGCACCCCAATTGAGTGGCAAAATAAAGGGGACGACAATTGGGGATGTCCACAGCTTATCACTCCCGAGTCTCGAAAGATCGAGTAGTTTCAAATTGCTAGTCAGTTTTTAAATACCGTCAGGGGCTTGCAAGTAGCGGCTAAGTTCACTATAAGAAAGTTTTATTATCTTCACGATCTCATCATATAGCCAAAAATGTGTTGTACGGAAAGGAAAAAACAGATCGTGGTGTAAGATAAAATCGTCCAAATATCTAATATATAGGAAACAAAATAATATATTATAATATGTACTGTAAAACCTATATATATTATCATTCATTATAATTTATAAATACTAATGGGTATTCATTGTATAGGTACAATAATAAAATATATTAAGTTTCACATTCACAAACATATTGTAAGCAGGTGCGTAGCTAGAATTTTTTAAAGCTGGATGTTTTAATTTAATAAAAAATTTTTTGAGGAGTGTTCACACATTTAATATATTTTTTAATTATTCTGGCGAGGGGAGGGGGATTTTCTAACACACAAACTTCCCCTCATCATTAATATCCAAACAACATCATTATTCATTATACTATATTATTATAAGCATGAGAGACAGCAGTTTGAAGCATTTAATAATTTTATTTTCGAAATCCTAGTCTACAGGCACAACAGTAATTATTATAACGAAAGTGTTCACTGAAAATAATAAATATCCATTAAAAATAAAGTTTGAAAATAAAAAATTTATAATATAGCCTACAGGTACTGTATAACATTCGTTAAATAAATAAACAAACGGTATAATATAAATATATAATAGGGGACTTTGTGATAGTGGTCAAATGGTGTAGTGTTAAAAAAAATTAAAAACGGATTAGCGAGCGACGTCTGTCGCATTGGAATGCCGGAAAAAGTCACTGAAAAATTACAAAATTAAAGTAAGTACCAATTGCAGTATTAAATATTAATACAATGATATACGCTAAATAAGAAAATAAATAATAGTAATCTAACGAATATTTTGACAAAAATATTATTATAGTGATAATTAATGATAATAATCAAATCTAAAATTATCTCTTCTCGTGTGTTTCGAACAACGAGCTTATTCGTGTTAAAGTTGCGAATTTATTTTAGCGTGTCAGCGTTACAATATACAAAATTTAGTGACTTTTTCCGAATACCGTCAGTGACCACAGGCTCGACTTGGCAAGATTAAAGTAGGGGACGACCTCTGTTCACTTTTAAAAAAAGACCGTCCCCATCACGTGTTCAACGTTATTGAGCCGACAGGGCTATGCCCCCACATCCCTTAATACCACTCTTTAAATCATATAAAAAATATTTATAAATAATCAATTCAAAAATTCAAGTTAATATTATATTACATAGACGTATTATAATGTATAGATCCGGGGTAATGAAATAATCCATAATATGACAAATTACGATTGTATCTCGCGAATTTCGATAAAAATGCAGAATGATGAAGCGTTCAGTGCATTCCCTTTAAAAATAATAGTAAGGGTACGCTAAAATGTCTGAAAAATGAGTTGGGGTACTCAGTCCATACTCCTTCTATAGGGGAAACATGATGTTACGAAATTGTTTTTGGCCCAGTTTTTGGTGGCCGTTGACACTTATTGTGACTGTTATAGCGTTATACGGCTGTGCCACTTATACGTTATACCATATAAATATATAATGAATAATGATTGTATTTTGTTCGGGGAATTAATGTTATATTTTATTAATTGGCAATTTCGAACACTCGCGATAATATCAACCCGATGTGAAACAGATAATGGATAGACCCAGCCGGCCCAACGATGATGTCGTCGGGCCAAAAGTGTATTTTTATAATATAATATTAAATTGCACATGATTTATAACAATTGCATGCTGCCGGACTTTGTACCACGGTCGTTGGACCGCGATTTATCTCGGGAACACGCGCGAAATTATTGACGAACACGCCGCTGCGAGGGCGTCTCGTTTAGATAGGGAAATTCCAAAAAAGGCCGTCCCTCTAGTACAATAATATAACAATAATGTCGTCATAACGAGCAATAGCTAAGAATACGGAAACGAACCGACGAAATGTCGAAATAATATTATAATATTGTTTTATTGTAACAACCAACGGAGAAAGGCAATAATCGAGATTCGCGCGCGCATAATTTAATGTCGTTGACCCAGGGAATACAGCCGCGGCGGCGGCACGTCGGTCAGCTGGTACGACGACGACGACAACAATAATAATAATAATAATAATAATAATAATAACAACAAAAACGAGACGGTCTTTTAAAAATAGAACATGCGACAGTCTGGTGGTCGGGAGTCAGGACGGACAGTACGAAATCACCAATTCTCACCTGATAGATGGACGACCTGGGCAAGTCCAAGCACACGGCGCAGCACAATATGCCTCCCAGCCTATGCTCCAGCTTGTCCGAAGAGGAGTGCTGCTTGTCCGCGCCGCCGCCGCCCCGGCCAAAAACTTCACCACCTCCGCCGCCTGATAGCTTGGCCTTTTTTGGGTTCGGTTCGCCGTCGTCTTTGGTGATGGACACATTCTGCTGCTGCTGTTGCTGCTGGCCATCCATGGCCACCGTCATGTTGTCCGACTGGCCGCCCGTCTCCACTGCGGCCGTCTGCGCCGAACCTTCGCCGTCGGACATGGTCAGCTTTTTCCGACTGTTTTCCGAAAAACGGCTCGGACGCGATGAATTGAGTGTCAGCAGACCCAAAGGTTGTGTGTCAGAATAATGTCGTTTACAAGCTATTTTAAGATCACTGCAGTGTTGTATGAACTCGACACTCGCGCAAGGCAACAAAGGCGAACTCGGAAACGATAAAAATAAATAGCAAGGCAAAGGATAAAAAAATTGAATATAATAATATAACGTTCGACTGGTGCGCGACGAGCCAAAGTGGTACGGGAAAAAAGAAAACGATATAAAAAAAAACCAACAACTGCGCCGTAATAATAAATACAACTTGTCCAGCGGAGTAGCGGATGGGCGGGCGGGCGGCCGAGTCGCCTCAGCTGTTCGGTCGGCCTGCTCGCTTCAAGGACGACGGACATGCGCACGCGCGCCGACTTAATCTACGGCCTGCTGTTGGTGATGCGGGCGGGTGAGCGGGCGGTGAGCTTCCCTTGGGCGGTGACGACGGCCCTCGTCCGGATGACGTGTACACGTCGCTACGACGCTACACTGCCGCCGCCGCCGCGAGACCGAATGCGGCGGGACTATTGCGGGTATTGATTATTTGATTATCGCCGACGGCGACACGGCGTGCGCGTGCTCGTTGTCGCGGACCGCGGTGCACCGTACGGCGTACAGTAATATTACTCTATGCGGTGCACGAAACGTCGTGGCACCCCAAGGACGGTATATTATTATTATTATTACTTTTTTCTCATAATAATATACTTTAGCAGTGTTGCGGAAAGTTCTCCTCCTCCTCGAACGTCGTGCGTAAACGCTCTCTCGACACGCAATTTATGTTGTATTAATAACGGACCATAATTGTTTGTCTTACTTTATTATATTATATTGTAATACATTTATACTTGCACTTAAGCACTTTGTACTTTGAGTTCTGGGTTCACTGGGGGTTCTAACAGTTTTATTAATGGGACAGTAAATATTTTTCAGCCTTCCTGGCGCAGTGGCGCCTACCCCTGAAATACTGATACTGAAATGTAGTGACACCCTAAAGTCATTTAGTGCGACAACTGACAACTGCCCACTACCAGTGGCGTAATTTGGGATTTGGTTTAGGGGGATATACGTTTTTAGCAAATGGTCATTACCAATACTTTGATTAAAATGTCAGCAGTAAAAAAATAGTTTTGGGGAGGGGATCTATCCCTCCCTAATTATGCCCCTGCCCTAACAACAATATTACCCTCCTGGGAGGGTAATAGGAATTCCCGCTAGGATTCAGTGGCGGTTTTGATAAAACATCAAGGGGGGGGGGCTATTTTCAGTTTTTAGGCCTCCCCACCATAATTAATGCAATTCGAGCATTTAGTGTAATTTCAATGAAAAAAAGGACATGCAAAAAAAGTCCAAGGAGGGGGTGAGCACCCCCTTCGCCCCCCCTAAAAACCGCCATTTTATTTGGAGACCATACGAATAATGAGTTCATTAAAATTCTGAATTTTGGAATTTTTAAGTTTGGTACATAGAACAATAGCCGTGTCATGCATCATGCATTCATATTTCATACTCATATATGTATCATATATGCATGTGCAGAGGTACAAAATTCAAAGGAGAACCACACTTAAAATCTTAAGCCAAACATTTTTTCGAAAATTGTTGTGTTTCCGGTATTTGGTTTTCTAAATCAACATTTAAATTTTAAACGAGTACATACCTACCTAGTTTCTGAGTTATTAAAATGTTTAAATATTAAATATTAAGGAGCAGAGCTCAACTTAGGAATTTCGGGGCCTGCGTCTAATTTTTTGATGGGGCCCCAAAATGAATTGTTATCTAAATAACTTTAATTAATTTAAATTATAAATTCAGTCTTTTTGCTATATTGATTTTTTATATTCAATTTATTTTTATAAGATTATAAATAAATTATACCATAAGTCCATAAGTAAATAAGTAATTATTTAATGTCGATTAAATAAGGAGTAAGGATAATAGTCTTTAAAAATTGTTTACAGAAATACAAGGTAGATGTAAAATTGGATGTAATATTTATTATACTCTATACGGAACATTTTTACGAATTCTAAAATGTTGATAGTCATTGTTATTAATTACTACAATAACATTGTCTAATCATCATAATATAGGTAATATATAGTACCTACCCCCATAATATAATCCAAACCTAATACCTATATATTATGGTCATATTGTTGCACAGAGCTATATGACTCAAAATCTACTCGTTTGAAATCCGATGAAAATGTTCAGTCTGCAGTCATACTAATATATCTTTATCATGATTCTCAAATCCAAAGTTTTTGAAGTTATACTTCTTTACGCAGGGTAGTGAGGAAAAAAAAAGCGAACGGGCGGCCGTACGAACGCGAAAGCGTACATGTCCGTAAATAAATAAATATTGTCATGGTAGTGTTATTGTTATATTATATATTATAATCGGGCCACGTCAATATTATTTAATTAATTAATATTTTTTTCTTTCTTTTTCACTCACTCACGTGTACCATTCAAAAGAAGTTTAACTTCCGGTGTGCGTACTGGTAACACACATACTTTTTTTTACATTTTTATTATGGTTTACAGATATATAATTTAATGGAAATATTTTAAAAGAAAATTAATTTTATTTCGAGAACATTTTTTTAGCTATTTATTTATTTTATTGTATCCTTTATATAAATATATTTATACTTTATACCTGGCAATAATGTTTAGTTGGGTAGTAAAATATCTCTACTGTTATGTATAGTTTGGGAAAATATTTGTATTTATGAAAATGTTGCAATAAAAAGATAAGTGCATAGGTACATATTTTGTACTTTTAAGTGCACTCAGTTCCGAGCACTTCTTAATAATATTTTAAAGAAAAAAAGACGATACTTATCTGAAAAAAAATGGTATCGCACTATTCCCACACGAAGGGTAAGACACTCCTTAAATAGTTAAATAGAATAAAAAGCTTAGTATTTGATTATATATTGTGTTCTTGAAAATTCTCTATAAATCAGTATTTGAATAAATTAATTATTACAGAAGAAAATGTATAGGTTAATATTGTTGCATAGATATACTTCTTGAATCACCTGTATATATTAATTAAAATTTAAAAAATATAGTTAATAATATAGTAATAATATAGTTATCAAGTAGGTGAGTAACCTTTAAAAAAAATAATGATTTAGTGATAAATTAACTGTGGAATGCTGGAATGCTAGAGCTTAGTATTTATAGTTTTTGTAATTTTTGTTATCTAATTGGCGTTATTTAAAATTTAAAATGTTTAAAACAGATATAGATAGTGTACTTTGCCTTGTCTATTGGGGATTTTTACAAAACAATTTATAATTCTTATAGAGTAGGTATAGGAATATAGGATATCTATATGCTATAATATATGGCAATATGGCATTATGGCATATGCAACTTGCTGACTCATCAATGCTAAGCTTTTCATTGGGATTGGTGGGGGGGGGGTTAAAAGTACCAAACATGAAATTCTGAGGTTCATTATTTTTCATTAGGGAGGGCTAAGACCCCTCCCCACTAGCTTCACTTATGGTGACAATTTTTCACTGAAGAATAAAAACATTTCAAAAGCTCCGAAGACTGACTAGGCTTACTTACCAAACCTAACCGCATCCATTCCATTACGATAATCACACACTACACACAAACTAACAGTCGAAACTTCTGGAATACCGAATGATAGATAGGTAAGTACTAACTACTGCCTATGGTACCTATTATAAGACACTAATATTTAATCAATGCTGCAACAGTGGTAAGTTGCAGCACGACTGAAAATTTTAAGGACAAAAAGTTATTAAGTGGGTACTGCCTACTGGGACAGGGGCGTAATTAGGGGATGAGTAGGGGGATAGATCCCACCAAAACTTTTTTTTTACTGCTAACATTTCGATCAAGGTATTGGTAATGACTAATGTCTAATGACCAGGGCTCGTAAGTTTATACATCTGCATGTTTTTTTTGCTACACAGGAAAACATGCTAACTGAGATACAAATCCGTTTCATAACAATAGTAATAATAATATGAAGTTTGATAGTGCATGTTTTTGCATGTTTTGGGTGTAAAGTCATATTTGGCATATAGTTGATTTTTTACAGTCGTTAGTGCATATTATTTCATAAAAATATTTTTTAGACAAATATTTGAAAAGTTTCTTCCGATTTTTGATATCTTGTTCCAATCGTCCAATATCGCATGGTAAATTATAACGGTTTTTAAATTTTTTTATTGATTAATTATTTAGCTAATTAATAAAAATATCGAAAATCAGACTTCTTACGATTGTAAAAAAAGTTCTACTTTAAAGTTTAAAATTTTTATAATGGGTATTTTTACTGTAAACCACTTCAATAAGCCGTATTACTTGAATTACGAAACCATGGTTTTAAGCCATATTTTGTCTACTAGTGCACCCACTTGAGTTGGAAAACATAAAAAAAAACACTTATAAAATATATTTTACTAAATTATCTCAAAATGAAATACCTAATATTTCATTCCAACAGTTTTCATTGTTGGTGCTGAATAAGGGTGTACACAAATTAGACGAAAATGACTACCTAATTAAAATTTATAAAGATGACAAAGCTATTTGAACTTCACAAGTATTAATTTTATTTTTTATTTTATTAATTTTGACTGTTAAATATATAAAAATTAAAAGGAATAAAATACTTTTAAAATGTATGGATTTATTCTTATTATTTTAAAATTTGGTCATGTTTTTTTTACATAATGCATATTTTGAGTGCATAATTTAAAAATGTTAAGGCATATAAATGCATATTTTCGAACTTTCAAGTGCATATTTTAATGCATATTTTGACAATTTTTAGTGCATGAAGTTACGAGCCCTGCTAATGACCATTAATGTTTGCTAAAAACGTATATCCCCCCCCCCCCAAACCAAATTCCTAATTACGCCACTGTGTTAGGGTATAGGAAATAATGATAGTG